TTATTAAGGAAAAACACGGACCAATCAGAGCGCGAGGATGACGCGCGCTCAGCCACTAGGATCGAAGCTACCTCGCGCCTGCGCACGCCCTCGCGCTCTGATTGGTCCGTGTTTTTCCTTAATAATTCAAAAACGAGGCTTCAAATCAAATTTTTGCAAAGGGAAATTTTATTCGGAAACACGTCAGCTACCTCCCAGTTCAGGGACCTACACTAATTGTGAAATACCGTGTATACTATTATGTTAATTATTATACTGATGTGATACTAATGTAACGTATGAGCATTAGGGTTATAGTACGAAAGTATACTAGATATTATATGTATGTACTGTATCTTTTAGGGTTACAAGACTATAATAATACGTATTCTCTATAAATATATTAATATACTAATATGTATAGATTCCAAAATATCTCCATCCTAAATCTCTAAACTCTCAAGCTTCAAATCCCCAGATCCCCACATTCAAAACACACAAACCACCCAAAAACATCAACAATCATAAAAATTAATTTCCTCAAAATACCGAACACAATTGAACCCGAAAAGTCTCATATCTCCACTCCCAATCTCTCGACCCAGTGATCGACAGATTACCAAGTACAAAAGTTGAATCCCCTAAATAAAGGAATTGCAAAGCTTCTCAAAGAAGCCGAGTTAATCCTCCTGGACTTTCGCATCGTTGAAATTGGCTTCTTCCGGGCGTTCCGTCGTGAATAAAGCGCCGTAGCCCTTCGGGACTCGACTTGAACAGGGGTCAGAATGGACAGCGAGGGGACAATGGGCCGGAACTGGTCAATGGGGTAGCCGGTGTTGGGCTTCTCGCGTCCTCGATACGCTGCGTTCCGGATTAAACGGGGTTTACACGGATCCGTGTTGCTTCCCGTCGCGCGATGTCACAGTATCCTGTTCCCGTGCACGTTTTTCCCTCTATTGGCCGTTGTTCGGTATCGTCCAGGTAGACAGGGAAAAAGAAGGCGCGAGAGCGACAGAGCCGTGACCGAATACTCGACACCGGTCGTGTTTATACTCCTGTTTGCCTCCTGATTCGCCACGGGCTCGACCCTTCAAAATCCCCTGAAAAGTCCTCCTGACCGGTCAAAACACGCATTCGTTACCCAAAGACTCGGACACGATCCCTTTTTCCGGCCGCGTGAAATCGACGGATTCCACCAAATCGCGTTAAGCGGAACTTCGAGGAAAAGCGATGAAAAGACACCGCGAGTTTTCGGGAAAAGAAAGATTGCTTGTTTGGGGTGACTCGACGGGTTTAAGTTTGTTTGGATTGGGGGTGAATTGTTTGGGTATGCATTGGGTGTAATCGGGCAACTGTGAGGGCATCTTTGATACTTGTAGCGATGGAGAGTTGCTTTGGTAACAGATTTGAGAAGGTTTTCATATTTTTGTACTTTGATATTCAATATTTTTTTAAAATGACAATTTCGAAATTTTACAATCTTGTGTTTAAAAGTTTTGAAACTTTCTAAAATTTCCAGGGGTGTACATTTGAAAACTTACAAGAATTTACCCTACCATCATCTATATTATATAATCATCCTTGACTCTCTTATTCCTAAATTCTATTATTAAAATTGGAATTCTATTATTAGATATTCCGAAACTTCTCTAAAAGCCCCATAAACCACATGAAAGGTCATAATTATTACAATTATTAAGTCAAAAGTTGTGCATAATTCTCGTAATCAATTCAGTAACCCCGAAAGTGTTATGTTGCAGAGGTGCAAGGAGAAGCTGAACACCCTCGCCATCTCGGTAATGAATCAATGGCCAGGGGTGAAACTACGGGTGACAGAGGGTTGGGACGAGGAGGGAAAACACGCGACGGATTCGTTGCATTACGAGGGACGTGCCGTCGACGTGACGACGAGCGATCGGGATCGTTCGAAATACGGAATGCTGGCGAGGCTCGCTGTCGAAGCTGGTTTCGATTGGGTCTACTACGAGTCCAGGTCACACATCCACTGTTCCGTCAAATCTGGTGAGTATTTTATTTATCATTTTCCTCGAACAACCTCTCCGTTTAAAACAGAGTGACACATGTCGGTCACATCTCACTTTTTATGTCATAACAAATTTTTATTATTAAAACTTGTTAGGGATGCTATCGATTATGAAAATAGTATCGATATTTTTTTTTAGTAGTTTACTGCTTGTTGACGGTGCACATTCTTAGTTTTTTAATTTGTTAATTTATTGAGGAGTTAATGTATGACGCACCGGGTGAGTCATTGGTTACATTGGATTGCACAGAAGATATTTACAGTTAATTTACTGTCAGCTTTTCATTGAACTATTTTTACTGAAAATTCATTGAAATTTTTTATTGAACATTATTGAAAATAAGAATTTAACTTGAGACGCACCTGGTGCGTCATCCATTATATTAGTGTAAAATATAACACAAGTTTTAGAAAAATTAATTTTAAACATAAGCACAGTGTTAATAATCATTGAAATTATTTTACTTGAAAATGTAATAAAAATTTGACTGGTGACGCACCTGTTGCGTCATCGATTATATCAGCGTATTAAAAATGATTTAATTTTTGATAACGTTCGAGTTAATCTTCCAAGATGAAACAGTAAATTTAATAGTCACTGAAATTATTTTACTTAAAATATGGATTTAACTGGCGACGCACCTGGTGCGTCATCGATTATATCAGTGTATTAAAAATGATTTAATTTTCGATAACGTTCCAATTAATCATCCAAGATGAAGTAGTAAATTTTATCGAAATTCTTGCGACGATATTAGTGACCGAATTATTTAGATGAGTATTAAGTAACCGTCGAGTAAATAGGTAATTACGGATGAAGTTATCGAAGGGCAATAATCGATGTAGGTATATTATCGTTACGCTCCTTCGATTCGGGGTGTTCGATTAATTTCCGCGTAAATTTCAATTACGAGGACTGCAGACAATTTGCTTCCATCGAGGCAACCGATGCAATAACGCTGCAGGAACCAATCGACGTTTCGTTATTTGCCTTCGGTCGCTTCGACATTGTACACACAGACGCATTTAACTCTGTTCCGGACAAGCCATTAATTGAAATATAAATGTAGAAGTGGATTAGATAGGGTGGGTTACGGAGGAAGTAATAAAAAAGAGAACACACGAATCTAATTACGATCGATTTTGCACTCGTTCATTTCTTACATGATTGCCATTTTTTCTAGAATATTATATACACCATACATTACATATATTACATCAGTAATTTATTAAAAATTAAATATTGGGAAATAAACTGATGACGCACCTTGTGCGTCATTGGTTACAGGCAACACAGAATGTGCTAAAAATTTAAATTCATCACAATATTATAATAAAATTTCAAACACTTGGTTGCAAATAATTACTGTTATGAAATATCGATGTCGTCATAGTGAATGAAGTCTAATCTCAACGTTAATTCCACAATCCGATAAGTCAATAAAGATACAAAACGTAGAAAACCCGTCGATAGTGTTCCCAAAAATTCGATTTTATCTCAACAATTCGTCAACGATAAGAAGATATCCATTTCGAATTGTAAACATCCTACATGACTTAAAGAGAAATTAAGTGGCCAATTGTTGATAATATCGATACGTGACTCGATCGACGCCGGCGTTATTTCAATCTAATATCGATGGAATAACCGTGACGTAGCTAGAAATCAGAACCCGTATCTCAGGTGGAATGTTGATTGATGATAACCACGATTTCAATTCATCCGCTAAATTTCAGACATTGTACTTCGAATCTCTAAAATAGACTTCCTTCATATTATTTGCAGTCGTCTACTTTAATATTTATAGCTTTGTTAGGTTAACACCTAAATTTCCAACTGAGCAAATTTGCACTCATCGCAATTTCCCTTCTTTAAACTTAACAAATCAGCTGTTTATGATTGCCGTCCTCAATGTCACAGCTAACCAATTAATTACCCAGAACCAATCACAATCCTTGTCCAAACCTATCTTCCCAAATTCCTATCTTCCAAATTAACCAATTCCTATCTTCCAATGCCAAACCTCCAACTCTCTAGATTTCCATCGCCTCCATCTAACTATTGTACTCTAATCTAACCTAATCCGAATCTCTTTGCAGAGTCCTCATCGGCCGGCAAATCAGGCGGATGTTTCCCCGGCCGAAGCCTGGTGCGCACCCAGGACGGTTCCACGAAGCGCCTGGACCAGGTTCAGTTAGGCGACCGCATCGCCGCCCTGGATTCCCGCGGGGACATCGTCTACAGCGAGGTGATCGCGTTCCTGGATCGCTCGTTAACCGAGAGGAGGCAGTTTGTACAGCTAACGACAGAGTCCGGTCGAGTGCTGACGCTGACACCTGCTCATTTGGTGCCAGTGGAGGGCAGGTCGTCGATCTTCGCCGGCAGAGTGAACCGCGGTGACAAGATCCTGGTGAGGGACCCAGCGGACGAGAACGAGGTGGAGCATCGTCTGCGATGGGACAAGGTGGTAGACAGGCGGCTGGTCCTTGAAGAAGGCGTTTATGCGCCTCTGACGACGGAGGGCACCGTTCTGGTGGACGACGTGGTCGCGTCCTGCTACGCCTTCGTGGACAGCCAGGAGGTGGCGCACTTCGCCTTCCTGCCGTACAGGATCTGGACTAGCGTGAAGTACTTCTTCACGAGGAGGCTGCTGGGCGTGGAGGACACCAGGTACTCGGAGGTCAGGCAGGACACGAGGACGCCTCAGGAAGGCGTGCACTGGTACGCGTCTTTCTTGTTCTGGGTGTCCTCGTTCGTCACTCCCACGAGGATGCTGTACCAGTGAGGCCTCCCGGTGGTCCTGGAGGATTCCTTAGTCTTCGTTGCGTGAAACGGACCGTGAAACGCGTCCAAAACGCCAGCCCACGTGGTCGCAGGACCAGGTCCTCGAGGGGAGAGTCCGGAGGAAACGTGGACCCTGAAGAACGTACTCGCGTTCGGGCTGATCGTTTGTTGGCCAGTGTGACCTCCGAGTGACGTGTAGCATATTAGGTACATAGGCGACGTGTGTACAATACGAGTATATTAATGTAATTTGTTGTTCTGATCCTTGAACGCGGACTGTGCTGTCTGAGATGGATCTGCGACGGAACCCGGTTAAATGTGACTATAATTAGGAAAATCGACGGACGGAATGTACAGCATGTTTATGTAGAGTTTATTTATGGAACTGTGTGAGGCGGCCTTTTATTGTAGCCCGGCGAAATGCTTGAAAAGTGTTTCAGCGTTCTATGTAGTGTGAAACCTATTCGTTATTGTATCGATACTTGCAAAAATAGATGAAAGTGTACTCTCGCGAACTTTGACTTCTTTCGGGTCCATTAGACTGCATTATTTATGTGGGAAGAGAAGAGTTATGGTCTACTTAGGTTTTTCTGAGGCCTGGGTAAATTAAGGGGATCTTGCATTAGCTGAACACATTATTTATCAGAAGGAGGTTCAATGTTAGGGTCTACTTAGGCTCTTTCGAAGTTAAGGTGGCTTGGAGTGTAGGATATACTACCTCTTGCATTAGTTATCCACATTATCTCCTTTCATCATAGTTGTACATATAAAGAAAAACAATTACAAAAGCAACATCTAACAGGCGGCTGGTCCTTGAAGAAGGCGTTTATGCGCCTCTGACGACGGAGGGCACCGTTCTGGTGGACGACGTGGTCGCGTCCTGCTACGCCTTCGTGGACAGCCAGGAGGTGGCGCACTTCGCCTTCCTGCCGTACAGGATCTGGACTAGCGTGAAGTACTTCTTCACGAGGAGGCTGCTGGGCGTGGAGGACACCAGGTACTCGGAGGTCAGGCAGGACACGAGGACGCCTCAGGAAGGCGTGCACTGGTACGCGTCTTTCTTGTTCTGGGTGTCCTCGTTCGTCACTCCCACGAGGATGCTGTACCAGTGAGGCCTCCCGGTGGTCCTGGAGGATTCCTTAGTCTTCGTTGCGTGAAACGGACCGTGAAACGCGTCCAAAACGCCAGCCCACGTGGTCGCAGGACCAGGTCCTCGAGGGGAGAGTCCGGAGGAAACGTGGACCCTGAAGAACGTACTCGCGTTCGGGCTGATCGTTTGTTGGCCAGTGTGACCTCCGAGTGACGTGTAGCATATTAGGTACATAGGCGACGTGTGTACAATACGAGTATATTAATGTAATTTGTTGTTCTGATCCTTGAACGCGGACTGTGCTGTCTGAGATGGATCTGCGACGGAACCCGGTTAAATGTGACTATAATTAGGAAAATCGACGGACGGAATGTACAGCATGTTTATGTAGAGTTTATTTATGGAACTGTGTGAGGCGGCCTTTTATTGTAGCCCGGCGAAATGCTTGAAAAGTGTTTCAGCGTTCTATGTAGTGTGAAACCTATTCGTTATTGTATCGATACTTGCAAAAATAGATGAAAGTGTACTCTCGCGAACTTTGACTTCTTTCGGGTCCATTAGACTGCATTATTTATGTGGGAAGAGAAGAGTTATGGTCTACTTAGGTTTTTCTGAGGCCTGGGTAAATTAAGGGGATCTTGCATTAGCTGAACACATTATTTATCAGAAGGAGGTTCAATGTTAGGGTCTACTTAGGCTCTTTCGAAGTTAAGGTGGCTTGGAGTGTAGGATATACTACCTCTTGCATTAGTTATCCACATTATCTCCTTTCATCATAGTTGTACATATAAAGAAAAACAATTACAAAAGCAACATCTACATTCAGATTTCCTTAACCTGAACTAAACATGGACAGTAATTTAGAGAATGTTTATATCAATGTCCTACCTCTCGTCTTAGTTGTCCACATAATTTATCATCAAAAACAGAAATTTTCACATTTGAATCTTCTCAAGTTCTAATTTAGACATAGATAACCTAAACAAAATGCAAATAAGGAAATATCCTACCTCCCGCCTTAGTTGACCATATAATTCATCCACAAAAACAGTAAGTTTCACATGTGAGTCTCCTTAAGTTCTAAATGAGAAATAAATATTCTGGACAAAATGCAAAGAAGGAAATGTTCTAACTCTCGCCTTAGTTGACTATATGACTTATCATCAAAAGTAGAAAGTTTCATATGTGAATCTCCTTAAGTTCTAAATTAGAAATAAATATTCTAGACAAAATGCAATGGAGGAAATGTCCTACCTCTCGCCTTAGTTGACCATATGACTTATCATCAAGAACAGAAAGTTCCACATTTGAATCTCCTTAAGTTCTAAACTGAACATAGAAAACTTAGACAAAATGCCCAAAAGAAAATATCCTACCTCTCGCCTTAGTTGACCATATGACTTATCCACAAAAACAGAAAGTTTCACATTTCCATTTGAATCTCCCTAAGTTCTAAACTAACTATATATCATAAACTACACAAAATACAGAAAAAGAAATATCCTACCTCTCGCCATAGTCGTCCACATTATAGAAAACAGAAGATTTCTCAGAATTTTCTCAGAAACCTTGACAAACCAGCAATAAATCGAAATGAAACTAAATCTAAAGGAATTCTGAGAAGAGTCTAGTGGAAACTTAGGGAAAATTCTGACTAGAGCGATTTTTCTTAACCGAAAGAAGTCTTAGGTTGCGCAAGAGTACATAAACGAATATTTTTCACGTAATTTGAATGAATTACATACAGATAAAATCGCGTGAGAAACTCCGCGTTTCCTCGATCTTTTTCTTGTTTTTAACCATATACATTGCTGCATTTTTAACATAATTCGTAGATGAAATAACAAATTTTCCCCTCGATGTACAGTGATCGTAGCGACAAAATATTGATTTCGATTAAATTGTTTCTGATCGATGATGTTAGGTGATGATCTTCGCGATAGGACGATTGCTGCATTGACACCTAAATTATCTTTGCAGAAATTGATATATTATATATTATTATATTATAGTAATTATTATTATATTATTAATATTATTATATTATATTTTATTATTATTATTATTATATTATTATTATTTGTACGTAGCTCAAAAACAAATTATAAATTATGTATATATTATAACGTCGATAGATTGAATTAAATCATTAAACACAGCAGAAACCATTGGTCTTTTTACTGATAGCCCTTCAATTATTAGTATTTTAAGTATTTTATTAATTATTAGTATTATTTAAGTATTATGGAATTTTGTTATACAACAATTTTATTATTATTAATAATTTAATATGAAGGACGTGAAATATTCTTTTTTATCTCAGACATTAGCATTTTAATCAAAATTAATATTAGTAACATTGTTAGCAACAAGTTTAATGTTTTATTTTATTATTTTCTTTATGCAAGAAAATTATGGTTTCAATCATTAATTGATTTGAATAATGAAAAATATAATTTCAATATTTATGAGACAGAGTTTCACGAGTTTCAAATATTTATTAACAATATTTCAAATGTTATAAGTAAAAATTGATTAATATTAAAGAAATTAGTAAATTAATTACAAAATCGTTCAAATTTATAAAAAATAAATTTTACAAAAATTAAATCAAAGAAACTGAACAAAATATAGAATTGTGTCATTAATATTTAATTAAAGCAATAATTAGTTAAAGTTAAAAAGATAAAATGCTAATAAAAAATCGTAACACAATATCGATTAGAATTTTCAAACCCCAGTGAAGATAAAAGAAATGATATTCAAATAAATTCGTAGCAGACGATGTTTCTTTGTTGCTTCGTTTTGCAAAATTTTACAGCTATATCTAATATTTCGATTCTCTTTAAATAAACGTAGAATAAATAATTTTTTCCATAATTGAAGTATAATTAAAGTAGAAACATGTTTAATATTTCAGGTCAACTGGCCGATAGGCTAAAAAAGGTGAGTCTTTCGTAATATAAATTTTTGAGGTTATGGGTCATTCATCTTTTTGTCAAGAAATCTTATTATTTAGTTTCCTGTTCAATAATTATTTTTTTTTCATAATAGAAATTAAAGTAAATAATTTATTTCTTATTGAAAATTTAAGTAATTTATTTATTCTTCATTAAAACAATGAAACAATTTATTCTTTGTTGAAGCAATCAAATAATTTATTCTTTATTAAAATAATGAAATAATTTTTCCTTCATTAAAATATTGAAATAATTTATTCTTTATTAAAATAAATAAGGTACACTTTATTAAAATAAATATTCTCTATCAAAATACTCAAGTAATTAACTTTTTTCTCGAGATAATCAATAATTCCGCTGTAACCAATTTTTAATTAATTAATTAACTGGTTCATCAATTTTTCAGCGAGAAAGCGTCACAGTACCATACCTACAAGACATTGAGAAAGAATTCTTCGATTTAGTCGCCAATGGAAACGTCGCCGATGTGAGACAATTTCTTGAGAGCCAACCAGATTTCAATATCAACGTCTCCGACTTTCAGGTGAGATTCGAGTGATATGAATTATTCATCGAATGCAATTTATATTTTTATCGAAACAATACTGAAATTTAACGTGTACAACTCTAATTTGAAATATGAGACGATACTAACTTGAAATATGATCTGATACTAGCTTGAAATATGAGACGACACTAACTTGAAATATGGTACGACACTAACTTGAAATATAATATGACACTAACTCGAAATATGATCTGATGCAAACTTGAAATATGATCTGATACTTACTTGAAACATGATATGATACCAACCTGAAATATGATACGACACTAACTTGAAATATAATATGACACTAACTCGAAATATGATCTGATGCAAACTTGAAATATGATCTGATACTTACTTGAAACATGATATGATACCAACCTGAAATATGATACGACACTAACTTGAAATATAATATGACACTAACTTGATATATGATCTGATACTAGCTTGAAATATGAGACGATACTAACTTGAAACATGATAAGACACTAGCTTAAAATACGATCTGATACAAATTTGAAACATGATATGATACTAGCTTGAATTATAATATGACACTAACTTGAAATATCATCTGATACAAACTTAAAACATCATATGACACTAGCTTAAAATATTAGACGATACTAACTTGAAATATGATCTGATACTAGCTTGGAATATGAGACGACACTAACTTGAAATATGGTACGACACTAACTTGAAATATAATATGACACTAACTTGATATATGATCTGATACTAGCTTGAAATATGAGACGATACTAACTTGAAACATGATAAGACACTAGCTTAAAATACGATCTGATACAAATTTGAAACATGATATGATACTAGCTTGAATTATAATATGACACTAACTTGAAATATCATCTGATACAAACTTAAAACATCATATGACACTAGCTTAAAATATTAGACGATACTAACTTGAAATATGATACGACACTAACTTGAAATATAATATGACACTAACTCGAAATATGATCTGATGCAAACTTGAAATATGATCTGATACTTACTTGAAACATGATATGATACCAACCTGAAATATGATACGACACTAACTTGAAATATGATCTGATACAAACTTGAAATATGATCTGATACTTATTTGAAACATGATACGCTACTAATTTGAAATATGATATGACACTAACTTGAAACATGATACGCTCCTAATTTGAAATATGGTATGACACTAACTTGAAATATGATATGACATTAACTTGAAATATAATACGACACTAACTTAAAATACGATATACTAACTTGAAACACGGTATACCAATTAAAAATATGAGACCTACCTCGCAGTCCAGTTATCACACTGAAACCACTAACCCAAAGCGCAAACTTAACCATATTTTCCACATAACGGTAAAACAAAAGCGAGAGCTATTAAAGACCATCAGGCCAAATCTCAGGTATTCAGAGGCGCCCAGGACAGCTCGTAAAGATCGGATTTATCTGCGATCGGTTTCCCACAACATAACCGTAAGTGGTGTCGATTCAGGTAAAAGGAGAACATTTTCCCCGGCGGCGAATCGACGTTGTCAACCCCTTTTTCCCCGGAGATCATTTCCGACCGATGATTTACGCTGTCCGTTGGTGCCGGGTTCAAAGAGCAGCGCCGTCCGTCACGGAAGAGGCAGCGACGACGAAGAAAAAGGACGACCCGGGCTCCAGAAACGGCAGAATCGAAGGAGGAAACGGAGAGCAAGACGAGGTCTCGTTATCTCCGATCTTCACCCCGTCGAGGTACACGTACCCCCCGTGGAATGTTACCCCCTCCAGCTCCCCCTCGTGTCGTCCTCTTCTCTTACCGAAAAGCCCAACCCTCGTTTCGCTTTGAAACAGAGGCCGCCTTCGTGAGGACAGAACGAAAGAGAGAGAGAAAAGGACAGAATGTGAGGAAACGAAAGGAGAACGAGAGGAAAAAAGAGGGATGACAGGAGGAAAAGAAGGTGAGGGCAGATAGGGGCGCGAGTGAAACGGAACGAAAGAAGCTGGCTGCCTCCGTGTATCTACGGCCATATTTCAGACGGCCCTTTACAAGACAATGGTTTCAGCCGAGGACCGATAAAAATTATTCAAATGACTGGTCCCGCTGTAAATTCCATCCGGGAATCCCCTTGCCACCGTGCTGCCCGAGAGATGCCCCGGGCGCTCGCGCGACACCGCTTGCTCTCGTTTTTTGACGATCGAACTAATATTGTGGAGTTGTAAGGATTAATGACTGCAATTGGTTATTAGAAGGAAATTAGTGTGGGGGAGATATGACGTCACGATGAGTAACGTGGTGCGATATGGGGAGAGGAACATCTACGTATATTGCATATTTGTATGTAATTTAGTATAATAATATAATTGCATTTATTATATAGTTTAATGTTAATTATGAGATGGGAGAAATATGTGTAATCCTATTGGAAGTCTAAGAAGAAACCATAGGGCCTTAGGGGAATTTTCAAGATGACCCATGGGATCCTAGGGAAATTTTAAGAAGAACCTATGGGATGCTAGGGATATTTTAAGAAACGATGTGATCGTAGAGAAATTTGGAGAAGAACCGATTGGATCCTAGGGAAATTTTAAGAAGAACCTATGGGATACTAGGGATACTTTGAAAAACAATGTGATCCTAGCGAAATTTTAAGGAGAACCAAATGCATCCCAGGGAAATTTTAAGGAAAACTAAATGCATCCTAGAGAAATTTTAAGAAGAACCATAGGAATCCTAGGGAAATTTTAAGAAGAACCAATTGGATCCTAGGGAAATTTTAAGAAGAACCTATGGGATACTAGGGATATTTTAAAAAACGATGTGATCCTAGAGAAATTTTAAGGAGAACCAAATGCATTCTAGGGAAATTTTAAGAAGAACTAAATGCATCCTAGGGAAATTTTAAGAAGAACCATAGGAATCCTAGGGAAATTTCAAGAAGAACTAATTGGATCCTGGGGAAATTTTAAGAAGAATCCAGTAACTCCTAGGGGAAACTTAACAAGAACCTTAAGGCGATCTAGGGAAATTTTAGAAAAAATCTATTTAAAAGATAAAGAGTTTTAGGAATTTGGTAAGTTAGAAATTTGTAAATTTGAAAATTTAAAAATTTTGCAATTTGATGAGTTGGTAATTTGGGATCTCAATGATCTCAAAACCTTCAAAACTCCAAAAGCTTAAAAATTTGATTTGGTAACTCAAAAACCCAGAAAATGAAAATTTGAAATGCAATGGGAAATTCAAAAATTCTACAATTCGCAACGTGAATATTTAACAAAATCTCAAGTTTCCATGTTAATTTCAAAATGGAGGATCGACAAAGACTCACATCATCCTAACTACATCAGCTAACTCGCCCCATTTCGCACTCGTCCAACAAAAATGCAGAGTCAGACATTAGCCATCTCTCAAAGTACACAATCCACACGTCCATAAATCTAAACATGAAACATCGTCTCGATTCCCCAAAATTCTCCACCCAAAGTCGCATGCCTACTCCTGATCCGCACGAGGACATCTGTCGAATTTAGCAAAGAAAGAGTCGAGCATATATCACAAGGTGGCATTGTGTCGGTGCGTGTGGCCGTACAGAGGTTCCCGTGGGTCCTCGATCCTGAAAAGCCAGGATATCACGGAATATTGTGACCGGTGTCGGCGGCAACAATGGATCGGCTCCATTGTCGGTGACCGCCTTCTGTAAACGCGCCGCAGATGGGCGACAAACGTCGTCGTCCCATTCTTCGGACAAAAAGGGACACGGCCGAAAAAGAGGGCCGAAAAAAGGAATAAGTAAAAAGGGAAACAGATAAGTTCGAAAGTCGATGCTGCGAGGATCGGAAAGCGCCACGAGGGACAAACAGGAATTCCACGATCCCGGAAAGCCTGACTGGCGTCCTTCTTGTGGGACGCGTGCACCGCGCCTGGGAATTTTTCATGGGGTCCAAACACCGTTGTTAACTGATTAACTGCCGGGGTTATTGCGGTTAGATCGTGTCTGTGATGGGACCGGTAAGCGTGTAGGATGTACTCGGCTATTTATTGGCTTTTCGATTTTATATTAAGGAATTTTGGTTTAACACCTTGGAGCGAGGATGCCAGAGGAGATACGTTATTGATGCTTGATGAGTTATTGATGGGAGAGGATGTTGGGGATCGGGGATGTGGGGAGTTTTGGGTGAAATTGATATTGTGGGACTTGGTATTTGGAAGTGTTTGAGGTAGTACGTTTTTAGGGTTATGTTAGGTTAGGTTTGACGTGCAGAATTTGGAAATTTGGGGATTTGGAGATTTGAGAATTAGGAAATTTAGAAATTTCAAAATTGGTAAACTAGAACTCTAGTAATTTTTGCATTTGTAATTTGGAAATTGGGCAATTGGGAAACTGAGAAATTGAGAAATTGGGAAATTGGGAAATTAGGAATTTGGGAAATTGGGAAATTGGGAAATTGGGAAATGGGAAAATAAGGAAATTAGGAAATTAGGAAATTGAGAAATTGGGAAATTTCAAAATTGTTGCATTAGGAAATTGGGAAATTGGGAAATTGGGAAATTAGGAAATTGGGAAATTGGAAAATTGGGAAATTGGGAAATAAGGAAATAAGGAAATTAGGAAATTAGGAAATTGAGAAATTGGGAAATTTCAAAATTGTTGCATTAGGAAATTGGGAAATTGGGAAATTGGGAAATTGGGAAATTGGGAAATTGGGAAATTGGGAAATTGGGAAATTGGGAAATTGGGAAATTGGGAAATTGGGAAATTGGGAAATTGGGAAATTGGGAAATTGGGAAATTGGGAAATTGGGAAATTGGGAAATTGGGAAATTGGGAAATTGGGAAATTGGGAAATTGGGAAATTGGGAAATTGGGAAATTGAGAAATTGAGAAATTGAGAAATTGAGAAATTGAGAAATTGGAAAATTGGATTATTAGGAAAATGGGAAATTGAGAAATTTGGAAATGACAACCCTAGCACACCACTTTCCACCATCCCAGTTACAAATAATTAACCTCAACAAACTTTTCACTCAACCTAACGTAACCTAACCTCATCAATAATGTATTCACTAATTACCCAACTAAACTATTAAACAACAAATGAACTCACACATATATAAATTAAAACAATTATTCCTTGAACATCATTACATCCAAATATCATCAAAAATCAAAATAAGTCTAACAAATCTAACCAAGCCAAAATGTCCGCACACAACTCATCGGATAAATACATTATTTTTTCGGTTTGGTAACAATGAATTGGTTTATTTTCAGGGCGTCACCGCACTCCACGTCGCAGTTCATGACAGAAACCTGCCGATGGTGGAGTATCTGCTGTCCCATCCTGACATCGATCCCGGTGACACGCACCTCCACGCGATCAGAGACAATGAACAAAAGATCGCGCTTGTTATTTTGGACAAATTGAATGAGTTGACGATGGGCCTCGAGTTCGTTGGCGTGACGCAGAGCTCCGATTTTCCGGATGATACTACGCCGTTGATGGTGGCCGCACAATGCGGCCATTTTGACATGATCACTTTTTTGAGGAACAGGCGCCACAGTATACCGAAACCGCATCCACCTTATTGTAATTGTGAGGCGGTTTGCAAGTACGAGCTTTTTTCTTTTTAATGATAATACGAATCGTTTGGCTTTTATTTTTTCTTTGGGATCGATGGGATTTTTGGGTACTTGTGTAGTTTTATGGAAGGTTGGTGTAGAAATTTGGGAATTGGGAAATTGGAATTGCAAAATTCTGGAATTTACAATTTGAGAATTTGGGAATTTGGAGTTTGGAATTTGGACATTGGGTATTTCACTCAATTACCAAACTTTGCAATTCCAAAGTTTCCCAATTCCCAAATCCACTAATTCAAAAATTTCTCAATTCCCAAATTTTGCAGTTCCAAAGCTTCCCAATTCGCAAAGTCACCAATTCCCAAGTTTTGCAATTCCAAAGCTTCCCAATTCCAAAATTTTGCAATTCCCAAATCCACCAATCCCAAAATTTCCGAATTTCAAAATTTTGCAATTCCAAAGCTTCCCAATTCCCAAAGTCACCGATTCCCGAAATCACCAATTTCCAAATTTTGCTTATCCAAAGCTTCCCAATTCCAAATTTTTGCAATTCCCAAATCCACCAATTCCAAAATTTCTCAATTACCAAACTTTGCAGTTCCAATGCTTCCTAATTCCCAAATCTACCAATTCCAAAATTTCTCAGTTCCCAAATTTTGTAATTTCAAAGCTTCCCAATTCCCAAGATTTGCAATTCCAAATCTTCCCAATTCCAAAAGTTTGCAATTCCCAAATCCACCAATTCCAAAATTTCCCAATTCCAAATCTTCCCAATTCCCAAATTTTGCAATTACCAAATCCACCAATTCCATAATTTCCCAATTCCCAAATATTGCAATGACTAAAACCACCAATTTCCAAATTCCCAAATTTTGCAATTCCGAAGGTTCTCAATTCTCAAAATTTGCAATTTTTAAATTCACCAATTCTCAAATTTTGCAATTCCTAAGTTCATCAATTCCTATATTTTGCAATTCCAAAATTTCTCAATTCCCAAATTCTCCAATTCCACAATTTCAAGATTTTGCAATTCCAAAGCTTCCCAATTCCTAAATTCTTCAATTCGAAAATTTCCCAATTCCTATATTTTGCAATTCTCAAATTCCCCATTCCCAAATTCCCCAATTCCTGAATTTTGCAATTCCAAAATTCAAAATATCCAACTGCACAATCCACCCCTTATCCAATAACCTTATCTCTCCGACAACCCCTAGATGATCATCACCACTAAAAAAAACCTTCAAAGAGAACCTTAAAACAAAAGCAAATGATTTGGTAATTCGATAGCGCAGAATTGAACGAGAGAAATCCGACTTGCTGACGATAGGAAGGATGCGACTATTCGCCTACAAAGCGATCACCAATCCAGCTTACATTTGTCAGACCGTCGATGACCCGATTCTACAAGCATTCAATCTGGCGCACGAGCTGAAACAAGCGGCCTCCTTCGACAGGGAATTTTATCACGAGTACAAACGTCTCTCTGAGGTTGCTTCTTTTCTTCTTCGACCACGTAGATCCTCGATTAAAACGTCTCTTTTTTGTAGAATGTGGCGCAATTTGCGACGGATCTTATTGCCTGTGCGAGGAGCGTCGAGGAAGTGGAGGTCATTCTTCAGCAGTCGACCGGATTCGCTCATTCGTCGAAATTTTTGTATCCGAGATTGCTGTTCGCGCTGAGTATTAAGCAGAGAACGTTTGTAGCACACCCTAATGTTCAACAGGTTTGGATTTTGTGGTTCTTTTTGGAATTAGGGAGGTTTAGGAAGTTTCAGAATTTGAGATTTTGGAGATTTGGAATAATTGAACTAATGGGATATCAAGTTTTTGGATTTAAAAATTAAAAAATTTTCAAACTTGTAGTTTACTATATTTTTTGATTCTTCTTTTATTAAATAAGTAAATTATTAAATTGTGAAAATTGTTTCTAAGTTAATTAATGTGTAATTTTTCAAATTGTTATGTTACCAAATTTTTAAATTTTACTATTACCAGATAATTAAATCACTAAATCACTCAAATCACTCAAGTCATTCAAATCACTCGAGTCACTCCAGTCACTCCAGTCACTCCAGTCAATCAAATCACTCAAGTCACTCAAATCACTCAAATCACTCAAATCACTCAAATCACTCAAATCACCCAAATCACTCAGATCACCCAAATCACTCAAATCACTCAAATCACTCGAGTCACTTAAGTCATTCGAGTCAATCGAGTCACTCAAATCACTCAAATCACTCAAGTCGCTCAAGTCACTCAAATCACTCAAGTCACTCAAGTTACTCGAGTCACTCCAGTCACTCCAGTCAGTCAAGTAACTCAAGTCACTCAAGTCAGTCAAATCGCTCAAGTCAGTCAAATCACTCAAGTAACTCAAGTCACTCAAGTCAGTTAAGCCAGTTAAGCCAGTTAAGCCAGTCAAGTCCCTCAAATCACTCAAGTCACTCAAGTCACTCAAATCAGTCAAATCACTCGAGTCAGTCAAATCACTCCAGTCACTCAAATCAGTCAAATCACTCAAACCACTCAAATCACTAAATAAATAAACCTTTTCAAAAATCCCCCAATATTTGATCTCTAATTTTTTTTTTCTTTTCCAGTTAATGAGCAGCAAGTGGGTCGAGGGCTGGTACGAATGGAAGATCATGCCAATGTGGATGAAATGTATACACGTAGCGTTTCGCATCGTCCTCCTACCAGTGATGTTAGTTGTGGTTCTTTTCGCGCCAAACTCTCGTTGGTCGAAAAGATGGCAGTCGCCGGTGAACAAATTCATCTCCTCGACCGCTAGTTACTTAGTGTTTTTGCTCGTCGTTTTTCTACAATCCAATATCGACAAAACTAATCAACTTCGAGGACCTCCTAATACTGGTATACCAAACGATTCGAATGATTGGAAAGATATGTGTTGAAAGATCAAGTGATTTAACTTCGATTTTTGATGTTGGGATACCTCTTCAGTATATGTATGGATTTTGGTTCTCTACATCGTTTCGTATACCTGGGCGTCCATTCGTCTTTGTGTGATTCATGGACCGGAGAGATACTTTACGTCTGCTTGGAATTGGTAAGATTTTATTACAAAGTTATTGACATAGTTTTAATAATTTGGTGATAAATTTTGTATGAGAGTTTTTGGGCTTTGTGGAGGTTGTTTGGGAGGTTTTACATTTATTTATGGGGTTTTGGTACTTTTGTAAATTTTTGAGTTTCTGCTTTTCTGAATTTTGCAATTCTCAAATTCACCAATTCCAAAATTTCCCAAATCCCAAATTCATCAATTCCAAAATTTTGCAATTCCCAAATTCACTAATTCCAAAATTCCCCAATTTCCAAATTTTCCAATTCCAAAATTTCCCAAATCCCAAATTCACCAATTCCAAAATTTCCCAAATCCCAAATTCACTAATTCCAAAATTCCCCAATTCCCAAATTTTCCAATTCCTAACTTTCCCAATTTCCCGAATTCACCAATTCCAAAATTCCCCAATTCCCAAATTCATCAGTTCCAAAATTTCCCAAATCCAAAATTTCCAAACCCCCAAATGTCCAAATCCCGAAATATTCAAATGCCTAAATTTTCAAATCCCCAAATATTCAAATCCCCAAATTCCCAGATTTCTAAAATTCTATAAACCTTGTATATATCACTCTACGGCAATATACCGAGACTCAGCTGCACTTAAACTTACAAATTATTTAATACAGTTTAGTATTGTTACATGTTGTTATTAAATGAAACTATTTAATTTTGATGCAGGTTCGACTTGATAATGATATTCCTTTTTATTCTGACGTTCATGTATTGGATAACGGCCGCCATTGATGTGAGGATAAACGGACAGCTGGAATTGGAGAGGAAATACTGGCACAAATACGATCCGACATTGATTGCCGAAGGAATTTTCTGTTGGGCAACAATAATGGCGTTCCTGAAATTGATGCATATCTGCCAATTAGATTACAACTTGGGTCCTCTTCAACTGTCGCTTGGAAAAATGTTTAAGGACGTTGGGAAGTTTACTGTACTCTTTAGTATTATGATGCTTGCCTTTACTGCTGGTAATTATAGTCTGAGTTGGTAGTGTAATCAGTAGGCTATCAATTATTTAGTTATTAAATCAATGAAGTCGATGGAAGCAATGAAATCAATGAAATCAATGAAATTAATGGTATTAATGAAATCAATGAAATCAATGAAATCAATGAAATCAATGAAATCAATGAAATCAATGAAATCAATGAAATCAATGAAATCAATGAAATCAATGAAATCAATGAAATCAATGAAATCAATGAAATCAATGAAATCAATGAAATCAATGAAATCAATGAAATCAATGAAATCAATGAAATCAATGAAATCAATGAAATCAATGAAATCAATGAAATCAATGAAATCAATGAAATCAATGAAATCAATGAAATCAATGAAATCAATGAAATCAATGAAATCAATGAAATCAATGAAATCAATGAAATCAATGAAATCAATGAAATCAATGAAATCAATGAAATCAATGAAATCAATGAAATCAATCTAAACAATCTGATCAATCTGATCAATCTGATCAATCTGATCAATCTGATCAATCTGATCAATCTGATCAATCTGATCAATCTGATCAATCTGATCAATCTGATCAATCTGATCAATCTGATCAATCTGATCAATCTGATCAATCTGATCAATCTGATCAATCTGATCAATCTGATCAATCTGATCAATCTGATCAATCTGATCAATCTGATCAATCTGATCAATCTGATCAATCTGATCAATCTGATCAATCTGATCAATCTGATCAATCTGATCAATCTGATCAATCTGATCAATCTGATCAATCTGATCAATCTGATCAATCTGATCAATCTGATCAATCTGATCAATCTGATCAATCTGATCAATCTGATCAATCTAATCAATCTAATTAATCTGACCAATTTGATCAATCGAAATTATCAAACCAATCAGATTAACAAAAACCAAAATCAACATTAATAATTATTATTAATAATCATTTTTTCAGGTACTTGCAAACTGTATCAATATTACGACGAAATGGTGCAAACAGACGACCAGTCGAAAATGAAAGTTCAACAAGCCAGTTCGTTCGTGAACTTCGTAGCGTCGTTGAAGACCTTATTCTGGGCTTTATTTTGCATGAGCCCTATAGAAAGCGCTGATGTGGTAATCGAAAACCTTCCTAGTGACTCTGAGAATGAGACAGTTATCAATCAACACACGTTCACGGAGTTTATAGGCTATTTATCTTTCGCTGGTAATTCATACATTTAATACTAAAGTAATAACTATAACAGTAATACTAAATGACAATGGCAATAATAATACTAAACTATAGTAGCAAACAACAGTAAAAATATTGGAGAATAGTAAGAACAATAATAGTAAATAATAATGCTCAATAATAGTAACAATACTGAACAATAATAACAACAATAGCCTTAAATAACAATAACAATAGTAGACAATAACAGCAACAATAATCCTAAATAATAATACTAAATGACAATAACAATAGTTACCCTAAATAATAACAATAATAATAAATAATAATAATAACAGTAGGTACTAAATAAAAATAATATAACATCTCCTTATAAGGTACCTCAGACATGCGAGGTACTTTTTCATCCTCAAATAAATATCCATAAACTATATTTATTTAGCATGTACCGTTTTACGTTGACATTTAAAGCACCCTATCTCCGTGCTCCACATTTAAGAGTTGTTATTCGATATCTTCAAGATTTATATAAGGAGCTAATTTTACAGTATTTCTTACGTAGAAAAATGTTACATACCACATATTAATATTTGACATTTGTAAATTTAATATTTGAGGTAGTTAAATTTTTGTTAAAAACAAATTATAGTTGGTATCGATTCGTCTATTTATTCACGATTGTGGTTATAATATATAATTTCTTGTTTCAGCATTCACCTTTATCTCAGTGATACTGATACTGAACATGTTGATCGCCTGTATGTCAAACACGTTGACGAAAGTGACAGAAAATGTCATCGTTGAGTGGATATTTGGACGAACAGAGGTTTGAAATCTAATTTAATCAATTTTATATAGCAATGGTTTTTAGTCATTAACACCTGCAAACACCTATAAACTCTCAAAGCTCACAACTTCCCAAATTCCTAAATTCTCAAGTTCCCAAATTTCCCAATTCCCAACCTCCCAATTCCCAAACTTCCCAATTCCCAAACTTCCCAATTTCTAAATTTCCAAATTCCCAAATTTCCGAATTCCCAAATTTCCCAATTCCCAAATTTCCTAATTCCCAAATTTCCCAATTCCCCAATTCCTAAATTTCCAAATTCGCAAATTTCCCAATTCCCCAATTCCCCAATTCCCAAACTTCCCAATTTCTAAATTTCCAAATTCCCAAATTTCCCACTTCCCAAATTCCCAAATTTCCCAGTTCCCAAATTCCCAAATTTCCCAGCTATCGTCCCCCAGAAAATCAGTACTGATCTCGATCTACAATTCCGTAAACAAAAGCCACGATTATTGGTTGCGCCTTTTACCGCGAGAATATCTAAATTTTCAAATTCCCAAATTTCCCAATTCCCAAATTCCCAAATTTCCCAGTTCCC